ATTTAAGGTGTACAGTACTTATGTAGTCATGATTTCTATCTTCATGTTCAACTGCAGTTCTGCTCTGGCACTTTTTTTCACTTTTTTACTATAAGCCGTTTCAAGGCATTACTGCTTTCTTCCAATAAGATGGTGTCATCTACATATCCCAAATTATTGATGTACAGATTTAACAGATAAGGAGATAAAGTGCACCTTTGTCTGGCATTTTTTTTCCTAAATGCAACCATTCTATCTCTCTATACTCTGTCCTAATAGTAGCTTCTTGTCTAACATAGAGATTATGCATCAGGACAATCAAGTGTTGAGGCACACCCATTTCTTTCATAGTTCCTCATGATCCACACAGGCAAAGATTTTGCTGTAGTCTATTAAGCATGGATTGATCTTCTCCTTTGGTGTGATCCAGTAGCCAGCAGGTATTTGCAATATGGTCCCGTGTGCCTCTTTCTTTTCAGAATCCAGCTTGAATATCAGATATTCTTTTTCCACATAAAAACCTTTTTTCAACAGCTTGAGTATAACTTCGCATACATGGGGAATTAAACAATGGTTCTATAGTTATTGCCCTCCATGAAATTTTGTCTCAAGATCATATATGTACATTTCTAAATCAGACCAGCAATGCTAATAATAGAAAGGAGATGAATAAGGTGGAATATAAACATTCACAACTAAATTTCCCAATCCTTGAAGGTCAGGAGAACGGCCATTGCAATAGATCTTAAAGATGGTAACAGTAAAACAGCACAGACCACTGAGGTGGATATTAGACAAGCCAACGCTTTGTTTGGACAACCTCTAGCTACCGCAGGAGTTGCGGCGAGAGTGTATGAAGTAAATCCATTTAATAACAACTCAGATAATAACCATGTCTCTTGATTAAAGATAATATCAACATTTTTCATAAACGCCAAAAACGATGGATTTTGAGTTTTGTTCAACCAGCCAGACACATTCCATGAAAAGCATTTTAGATGGTGCTCGCTTTGAATTGCAAATTGTCAATTAGAAGCAGGATAATCCATGGGTGATTCTAAGTCAGACATTGAACTTGCCACTGAATTTATTTCAATAATATCAGGAGGGTTAATCTGAGCATTATCTAGGGGTGCCTCCGTTATCAAACAGAGATCGGGATGGTCTGCAGGCACCATCAAGTTAGATCTGGGAACCCTTTTATTTATTATTACCATGGGCTCCAAGGGGATTTTCATTCTGTCCTTAACCTGTGTCTCCACTGGGCATCCTAGTGTCTGCAATTGATGGGTTGCTAGGTCATCATTGGAATTTGGGGGCTGTTCTAGATCCCTCAAAGTTGCAACCAGGGAGTCCAGGCAATTCACTAAGGATAGCAGCACATCGGTTGGCAATTTACTAAAGGATGAGATAAGATGAATTTCAACCTCCTCTTCTGGCTAAGCAAGGCCTGGGTTGATCTTTTCTGTTGCATATCTATCATACTTATAGTTTTTAATAATTTTTTGTAATCATTTTGCCTAACAGTTGAGTAATCTTCTAAAATTTGAATAAGGTCTTCCTCTGTATGTTTCTCCTGGACACAAGCTAGGGTCTCTCTTTCCATTTCTCTAGTGTACCCACACAAGAGAGGTAGGGTATGTGCTTTGTTTTTAAAATATCGTACAGCAGTTATACCCCTTGCAGCTAATTCCTTTCTTATGCTATAAATCTTATTGGTTATTATGCTATCTTTGAATGTTACTATAGCTCGTGCTTGGGTATAATTGTAGAATAAGTAGTCCACATTTAGAATTTGGGATGTGGAAGTCAATTCAGGAATTCTAGGTTCTAGAGTGCTGATCAAGTTCCATTTGCGTTCATTCTGGGTAAGTATCCCTTTTCGTTTTGGGTAGCCACAGAATGCTAAAGTGTTAGCCATTAATCTTAACTTCCATCTAGTTCTATTCTCAGGCTGCATCAATTCAGCTGTTACAGTGGTGCCTCGCTTAGCAATCACTCCGTTGAGCGACGAAATTGCTTAGCGACGGGTTTTAAGCAATCACGTTGGTCCCTATGGGGAAAATTCGCTTTGCGATGATCACAGGGAAGCGATCAACGCAAAGCCCCCATTTTCAGCCAGCTGATTGGCGGTTTCAAAATGGCTGCCGGAAAAACAAAATGGCCACCTGCTGTGTTGCCTTGCTTTAGAGGCACTGAGAATGGCCGCCCCTATGGAGGATTTTCGCTTAAGGTTAGTTTTTAAGCCCATAGGAACACAATAATGGAGTTTTAATGCGTTTCTATGGGCTTTTTAAATCCGTTTACTGATGAAATTGCTTAGCAATGTTTTTTCCTGCACGGATTAACGTCGCTAAGTGAGGCAACACTGTAGTTGATTATTCTTCTTAGGGTTACTATTTATCACATCAGTCCATGGATCATTTCCCACTATATCTATTTTATCCTCAGTGTCCTGTATAGGGGGAGTAATAGCTATTTGGTCTAAATTTGTTCGGGCCTGGCCAGTATCTAACTTTTCAGAGTTCCTTTTGAATCTAGAAGATTTTCTTTCTTTCTTTGGTTTCCTCTCAATAAGTTTAAATAGATTATGGAAATCCATCTATCCAGATGACTTTTTTTTAATCTTGCTTCTGTGCTTAATATTTTTAGTCTTTTTTGTACACCCATGCAGACTCCTTACCTCTGACCTGTTTTTAGCCTTCTTTTTAGAGTTTTTTCTCCTTTGGACAAATCATCCAGTGGAAGTGGGGGTGTGGTACCTTGGTCAGTTTGTGTATTATTGTTTCTGGGTAAATTGCTTATTGCAATTAAGATGGTTAATGTAGTTAGTAGCTCATGAAATTCAAAGAGGAATGATTTAATTTAACTTCATCTCATCTAAGATAAAAACATTGTTTCAACAGCTTGAGCATCACTTTGCATATATGGGAAATTAAAACAATAGTTCTATAGTTATTGCACTCCTCAGCATCTCCTTTCTTGGTGATTGGAATGTATATCGAACAGTTCCAGTCTGTGGTCTATTGTTTTGTTGGCATAGTCTTAGAATTTAGACAGATTACATCTCTGTGGCTTGAAACAGTTCTACTGGTATTCCATCTACCTCTGGTTATTTATTTCTTCCTAGTGCTTTCAGAGCAGCTTTCATTTCACTTTCTAGAACTGCAGGTTCTTCATCATAGAATTCCCCTCTAAAGGAGTCTGTCACCCTTTTATTTATTCTACACAGTATAGGTCTTCATTATACTGTTTCCATTTTCTGTTTTTTGGATCTGAGTCAGATAGTGTGGTACCCTGTTAGTCATTCAGCATTCTTAATCTAGGCTTAAATTTGCCTTTGATTTCTTGGATTTTCTGGAACAGATCTCTTGTGTTTTTCCTTTTGTTGTTCTCATCTATTTCTTTGCATTGGTTGTTGTAACTGTTCACTCAGTCTCTATAAGATGGTCTCTGAAAAACTGCATTCAGGATTCTTACTCTATATACAGTATATCACAGAAGTGAGTACACCCCCTCACATTTCATAAACATTTTAGTATATCTTTTCATGTGACAACACTAAAGAAATGACAGTTGACTAAAATGTAAAGCAGTGACTATACAGCTTGTATAACAAGCGGATGGCCTCCACTTTGATTTTAAAAAGGCTGCAAATTGGTCAGGTGAGATGCTAGAGGGAGGCCAATCGCCATGACTAACTCTGGAAATACCGCAAACTATACGGAAAAGTTCTGCCTGCTGATTGGAAGCTTCGCTTATCTGGACAGGAAAGGCAGATCGACTAGCAGCCTTTACCTTAGATTGGTAGAGGTTAGTTGCGATCCTGACAGCTATTAGATTATTTCCCATCGGGTACCTCCTCCATGTGCACTCTAGCCTTCTCCTGTTTTGCTTCATTAATCGCAGCTCTGGGTTAAACCAGGGCGAAGGGCAATCTCTGCACTGGAGAGGGCGTTTAGGTGCGACCGTGTCAACAGCCTTGGTGGTGGCAGCCAGCCAACTATCCACCAGAGCCTCGACAGGAACGCCAGTCAGATCAGCTGGAATCCCTCTCATGGTATCCTGGAATACAATAGGATCCACTAACCTTCGAGGGCAGACCACAACAACAAGTCCTTGCTCCCCACGGGGGGTGGGGGTGGAGAGCCACTGTGAGGGTGACTTTGTAAATTATGTCATCTAAGTGGAAGAAATGTTAGATTGTTACAATAAACCATAATGCTAGCAATTGGAGAGCCAAGAAGCCACTTTGCTCAACTTAAAATCAGGGGGAACTGCCTTACAGTGACCTAAACAGGGCTTTCAAAATATGTGAGATGTTCAGAGAGTAATTTATCATTTCCCTCCCTCCCATTGCCACATGGGGATGTGAACCTACATCTCCTGAGTCCTACTCTATTCACTCCATAACACTGGCTCTTCTGAAATCACATTTTTAATTTAAACTTGGCAGATGGAATGAAGACTGTACACAAATGTTTGGGCAAGTACACACACACACACACACACACACACGGCAAGTACACACACACACACACACACACACACACACACACACACACACACACACGGAATATGTCCTAGCAATGTACATGCATGTTAAGACATGCATTTGGACTGATTAACCACTACAATGTTAACAGTCAATCTCATATTCTAATTCAAAATCCTCCTTTTTTTAAAAAAAAGTGGTGATGTATAAAATTGCCTGCATCACCCAAATTCCAGATAATTCAGCCAAAATGTGTCATCTTTGCTGAACAACTCAGTAATGCCCACAGCAGGCAAGCATGCACACAAACACAGAAGCACACACACCGCCTTCAGCAACTGAATACAGCTTTTCCTCCTCCAGATTTATGTGCATGTTGGATCTTGTCACTGCAGAAAATGAAGGGTAGGAAGGATCTCTTTCCCCCTGAATGGTCTGCATGCAGCTAGGAAAAAGCTTTCAGCTGTTGCCAGAGCCAGAAGGGGGAGAGGGGGAGAGAGAGAGACCGGGGAATGCTGGGCGATGCTGATGTAACAGGCTCTCTGCAATTTTCATTCAGATGTGGTTGGCTGCAAGCTGACAGAGAGGCTCAGCTACGCCTCCAACTCCGATGAGGTAATCCCAGCTCCCTTTTTGGGCTACTCCAGCACAATCTGTGCTTTTCCAGCTTTCAGGTCAGCTTTTGATTCCCTTCCTGAAATTCACCGGACACAGGATTTTTTTCCCTTCACCCCAATCCCCTCCTGCTTCCTATTCCCAGACTTCCCTCTCCTGTCTCTTTAATGGACACTCCACTATGTTTTTTTGGGAGGGGAAAGGAGGAGCAAACATAGGAAGAAATCTACTGCAATGGATCTCACGATTTACTCTGGCCTCTGGGTCCGATCTGAATGGGATTTGCAAGATTGGAGCGAGAACGTGCAGCGCTGCCAGACCATACAGTCCTAACTAGCAGTGGGATAGGAGTAAGTCCGGAACACCACCAGCAGCCCCCTGCGAGCAGTAATACCCTCCTGTCTGTGCGCTCGTTTGCTAGCTGTTGGCTGTTTAAACGCTTCTCTTCGGAGATGCCTCATCTCAGGAAAAGATGGAGTGGCACTCTTCGGTTCTCACCAGCCACCGGGGAATGTTGCTCTTGAGGGCAACTGATCCAGGAAAAGAGAGCAATCACCTCCGGTATAAAACGCCGGGAAGAGCGCAGACGTTGCCTTCACGATTTTCCGCCTCGTTGCCGCTCTGTGTTCAGCACCCGGACAGCTCTCTGCGCGCAATTCTCCTTAAGGGAGACCGAGAGCATACTTCTGCGGGACGGATGGAGGTTTCAGCACCACGGATAGCTCCCGCTGCATGGCTCCGGGGGTTAAACTAAATGGTTTGATGATCCTCCGGTTTGCTTCCTTATAGGCAGCTCAGCTGGGCATTTATTTCGAAGTCTGTATCTGTCATCCAAGCCTTTTCTTTCTTTCCCCATTCCACTAATAAACCTTAAGAGTACTGTAGTTTTGTTTGCCATAGATCACTGGACAAGCTGATGTTTTGAAGGGTAAACCTCAGCACCTAGCTTGCATCCCAACTGCAACACTTTGGGAACTGGGTAGGAAAAAAACAAGGAAGTTCTAGTTGACTTAATAGTTCCGTGGGAGTTTTCCCCCCTTCCCCCAGCTGAATATGTGTGCCAAGTATGTTTGTTCTAGCCTAGAAATGTGGTGCTAAATCTTCGCTTTAAGGTCCCTCCACTTATTTCTGAACTCTGTTCTCCCATGTTATGTACCACATGTTGAAGTTCATTTGGAATATATGCATCCTGGCAGGAAGTATAGCCTGGATCCCTCCACCCGTTCATTCTCTAATTCTTTCTTCGTCTCCACTCTCTTTTCTCTTTGTTCTGGGAGATTGAGAACAAGGGTTGATTTCTAAAGCAAACAAGCTCTGGAGTGTTGTTTGTTGGGATTTCCAAGCATGCGATGCGACTCCATAACTGGCCTGGAACATGCTGCACAAAGAATGCCAGATCCACCAGCTGCAGTCTTAAAAAAGACTTGAATGTTCTTCTGGAAGGTGGCCAGGAAGCAACTTCTTTACTTAGAAACTTTGAAATTAAAGTGCAAGGGAAGCCCTTCTCCAGACATCCCTACCACATCGGACTCTTCTTATGTTTTTTGATTCTCCTATCTAGCTAAAGGAGAGAGAGAGAGAGAGATCTTTCCCTTTGGGCATTGTCACATCTGGCAGGGATTTAAGGGCTTTAATCCAGCCATCACTGCAATCCACAATGGCAAATGAACCGGTGATTTTGAATGTTTATGACATGGTGAGTAAGAAACAATCTGATGCCTCCATTTGGGGCTGGGAGGAGGTGAGGGAGGTGATTCCCGAGATGTGATTGGACAAGAGATTCTATTATGAGGAGCCAAGCAGCACGCAGGGCACTGGCCAGGCAGAATTGCCACAGCCATTCCTGATAGTGCTCTGCTGCTGGCTGCTGACATTAGTTACCCTGCCCAATCCCCCCTTTTTTTGGCAACCATCAGAGCAGGGTAAAGGTGAAATAAAGCAGGATTTATATGAGATTCCTGAGAGGGGGTTGCCTTTCCAAAAAGCCCAGCTAGAGATGGAGAGAGAGATATGACAGGATGGCTTGTTCTCACAGCTGGATGCCCTTGATTTTTAAAGAGATTAAATGCACTAGACTAGGGAGGACTGAGAAAGGAGGGGAGAGGATGTGATGTAGTGTTTCAAAGAAGTCCCTCATAGTAGGTATTTTTACTCAGAGGTAAAATACAATAGATTTCGAGGAGGCTTTGTGCACTGTAAATATGCACAACATGGCAACCTTCTTGTTGACTTTCCCCCCCTAAGACCTCAGTGGAGAGGTACCTTGGTGGATGTATCTAAACATTGCTAGAGGAGCAAACTCTTTTTACTTGCAAAGTCTCCAGCCTTGTGCCATAGGAAGTGAGATGTTGTTATTTTTAAACTGATGTTCCTGATGAGAAACATGCATTTTAGTCCAAATAAAGAGGAGGGGTTTATTGGGTCAACTCCAACATCACAAAAATGTACAAGCTTTCAACATCTCCAGGTCTCTACACCAGCAAGAAGAGGCCTGCTTGCATTGTGTAAGAAACCTGAGTATCTTGAAAACTGGTATGAATCAGTGAGTTTTGAGTTTGTGATCTAATAAAGATAGTATATTAATATGGATTGTGGACTTTTTCACATGGCCAACACAGCTATCTATACTTTCTGTGTGACTCCCCAAAATCACTCCTAGTTTAAAATAGATGGCATCTGTTTTTAGTTCTGTTTCTTTACTGTATCTCTTCAGCGGTCGATGGTAAGTACCAATTTTTTTATTAAACCTAATGAAGAAAACAGGACATTCAAAATGTAAAAATCTATTACATTGGTCCAGGAAAAGTACAGTATGGTGAATAGCATTCATTTTAATTTGTAATTTCCCATGAACAATTGACAATTTTCTTAATTAAACTCTCCATAATAATAGGTCCAGATTGTTTTTAGAATGATAAGCTGCTTCCTCTGTATTTTATGATCCATAACTGGAAGATTTTGTAAACATCTGCAATATTAACTTATTTTATTGCCAAAATAGACACAGTAGCCAATTCTGCCTTTGAAAAAATGTGATAAAAGCTCACAAGTCATGAAGTCTTCTTTGAGGAACATTGGTTAAAGTTTTGAGGAGCTTCACTGAAAGTAAATATGCATTAAAAGATCGGTTAATGATAGGCCATTTAATTGTTTGCTGTATGTTGTCATCATCCAAAACAGACTTCCACCAATGTTCGACTATACAGAGTTCTGAGCTATGACTTCCCATATCCCTATTCACCATAATCTCTGAAAGGATGGAAAATATAGTTCAAAACATTTAGAGGGCACAAGGTTCGGAAAGATTAGCTTAAAGCAAAGATACAAGAAGAGCCTTGAGGTCAAAAGAGATGTGTACTATGCAAATACATATCCTGACATCACTTTTATATAGTCAGAAGGGGGGCTGTTGCTAGATTAGGCAGCTGGTTTACCCTGCATCAAGGCATGATTTTATTATAAGGAGAAGGGGGATCAGAGACAGATAGCATTTCACTAAGGGAAGGGGTGGTATTTTCTTTTAATCTTCCCTTGAGGGGATTTATTAAGGGTTTGATTAAACATTGAAGTGAAACTGTCCTGAATCGACTCTTGCTCTTCCCACTTGCTTTTGAAGTTATGCATATTGGACTTTTCATTTGTTGCCATTTCTGTGCCTGGTTGTTTTCTTAATTAGCATTTTTAAAGGCTGTAAAATTTTTCTCTTGATTTAGATCCACAAAGCCCTCGTAAGGCAGTGCTTTGTTCTGAATTGTTCTAGATATTTGACAAATGTAACTTTTTAAAATGATCAGAACATGCTTTCAAAATACTGACCTTAATGGGTGGGATTTTAAATTGCTCTTACCCTTAGACAGGTGTGCTGAGCCAAATGAATGGCACTGAGCTGTTCTTGCTACTTTTATAAAAATGGATAAACATCGTTTTGAAAAAATGCATGCCTTGCACTCACACACGTGTGTGCGTGGGTGCACGTGCATGCATGCACACACACACACACAGACACACACGGACACATGCATGTGCATGCACACACACACATGCACACACACCATCACCACCACTCTAATTTTGCTGCCCAAAATCTGAATTTAAGACAAACAATTGCAAGAATCATAGATACCAGAGGTTCCCTGACCTTGGATCCCCAGATGTTATTGGACAAAAACTCCCAGAAGCCTTTACCACTAGCTGTGATGGCCAGGCTTTCTGGGAGCTGTAGGCAAAGAACATGTGAGAATCCAAGGTTGTGAACCACTGATACATGTAAATAATCACCTCCATTCCCAAGCACCTGCCATTTCAAAGCTACACATCACTAGAGATAGGAAAAGTTTAATTTTTTTGTACTACAGATCCCATATCAGTCCAGCCAGCATGATCAGTGGCTGCATTGGTTATATATTTTGAGTGTTGTCATCCAAAAAATGAACTTTTCTCATCTCTGAATAGCATCACAAGAGGGAGATAAAAGCAGGCTCAGAGGGAACCTGATGTTCACGGAAGAGGCAATGAATACCAACCAGGTTTTATATAAAACTTTACAAGGGCTATCCAAGGTTTTTATTCTTATCACCAAAAGAGATTCATCGTCTTAGATAGTTCCTTAAAGTTTTGACCTAGAGCAGATTCATGACCTTGCTGACAGCAGAGCCACTAGCCACCCATGGAGCCCTCCCTGACACAGAATGTGACCTGACTTTTGTTTGCAGTGGTGGAAAGCAATGGAACAGAATGGCTGGGATGCTGACCAGAAGTGCTCTGCACTGCAACAGGTTCCATTAGATCTACGTAGTAGAGCTTCTACCAACCTAGCACCATTTGGGTGTGATAGACCACAATATCCATTGCTATGGTGTTATGTGCTGTCTATCTCCAAGGCATGTGAAATATGTAAGTGGTAGAGTTTCTCTAGAGGAGGAAATTATACAGAGAGAGCATCTTTCAGTTAATAAAGGGTGATGGGGTCCTAACTGAATATATTTCCCTTAAACATTAATTAATTAATTAAAAATTTATTTATTTATTTATTTATTTATTTATTTATT